CCGCCACCCCCTCAGCGGACATTAAGTTTAATGTCAATTCTACCGCCATGCCCAGCATTCCCGTTGCAGATGAAGTGGCCTTTTGTGCTTCGATGCAAAGAAGGTTGTCACAGAAGATTCAAGCAACACAGTACGCCGTCCTGGACGACTCCCAGATGCAGGCTCCTCTGGAAGGTCGGAGGGAGGCACAGCATCCTGCATTCATCTGGCCGAAGAGAGGTACTTTTTCAGAAAACCGAAAAAAAATTAGGAATGCTTAGTGGAACGCAAAGACCATTGAATGTAAATCAGCTGCTCAATTTTAGCTTAAATTTATAAGTTTCCCAGCTTTTGCACAGACTGCATCTAGGAAAACAATAACACTTACCCAGTGTGAAATAGCTTGAATGCGCAAGGATGCTCCTCCTTGCTGGTGGCCCATTTCAAACCCATTCTATTGCAGAGATGACAGTTCGGGAAAGTCTGTTTGATGGTTGTGCGGAAAGAGCACACGCGTGGCACGCGTAGGAGATGGATTTGAGACAGTCTAGTCGTTGCAATTCTTCTCGGCTGCGAGTCGCCACCAGCACCGCCACTGTTGAGCAATGTTTCTGGTCGATTCGACGACGGTCAAACCGCATACGCAAGCTGGATTGAGAATGTTGTGCAATTTGCGATAGGCAAACTCCTTTGGTGGTATTCGGGGCCGGAGGAGGACAGTGAGGAGAAGAAGAAGGACGAGACAGTGGACGAACATGTGAAGGAGAATGGTGAGAACGAAGAAGACGAATTGGAGGTGTTTTGTTAGCCTAGTCTGTTTAAGTCATCCGATCGTATTTTGTACAAACATTTACAGTTTTGGATCAACTATACAGATCGAAGGTGATTAATATGGGTGTGGTTTCACTGACTACATCCCTTATCTTCAAATGAAGAATTATGTTGTGAAAGAAATTCGTTGGGCCAAACAGTTTCGCGAACTCTTCGCAGGTGGAACATATGAGTAGAACAGCTATTCATAGTTATCCTCGTCTCCTTTTAGTTAGTTATCATTTCCAACCAAATGCCAGGTTCCTTCCAACTGCTCCTGTAATTAAGCGTAAAAAATCCCCATTTTAAAGCAGGGGCTCCTACAATAGAACACATCATATCATTTTAAATACACTTTTCGCCAATTTTGAAGTAATGCCTGCTTATTGTGTGTTTCACGATCAAGGCATTTTCGTAGGTAGTTAAATAAATTGACTTGGAACATTTTGCATGAATTTTAATGAAGAACTATTCAGTGTCCCACCTGATAACAAGCCGAGCTAAAATTTTACCCAAATGAAGTTCTTGCATAACAATTTTTCATTGGAAGCATAAGGGATGTATACAGCGAAACCACGCTCGCTTCAATTACCCTTGGGTTTGTAAAATGCATCCAAAACTGTAAATATTTGTAGAACAAAACTCCTCCGATTCGTCTTCTTTCTCGTAATTCTCCTCCAGATGCTCATGCGCCGTCTCGTACGTCTTCTCCTCACTATATTCTTCCCTCAACGAATACCACCAAATGATTTGCCAATCCAGAT